TTGAAGGAGATTTAAAGTTTGCTCTGATTGATAAGCACAGGCAGTGAATAAAGAAATTATTGATTTTCATGTCAAAAGCCAATTTTGAAGGCTAAAGGGTTTTTACAATGAGACGGACAAAGTTTAACTGATAATGCTTTGTAACAGGAGAAGAGAATAGAATCATCATTCAAATATTGAGAGCGGGGTTCAAACATGGTATTAATACGTATGATAAAGTCTTCATTATCAGAAGAAAAAAAGGGAATCCTGTTGACAGACAAGGGCATTCTCTTTTGTAATTAATTTGTTTATTTTTAGTTTAGAATCACTAAAATGAAATAATAGTCTCTGTAACCACTCCTGTTTCAAATCAATAGAATTAAAAGTGCAGGTTGCAGCCGCAGATGTTTTTGTAAAAAATCGACATGCTTTTTTTATTTTATTGTTTTTTATCAGTGAGATAATTTTTTGTAACAATTACATTACCACTGTTTCACCTTGCCTGTCTGTCTGTTAGATGTATAGCTGTTAGTATCCTCTTGGGGTTTTTCATTATGTACCAAGATGAGTGAAGCTCAAAAATATATACTTGTAGATGAATGTCTTTTAAATTTAAATTTTTGTTTCATTTTTGCAATTTGAGATTGTCATTTTTCCTTTCCTTTTTTTTGGAGGGGGAGGGGGGGGGGCAAAACATTGTGCTTGCATGATATTTAATTATAAACTTGAAATCCTTTAATTGCATTATATAGTTTAAATGAGAAAAAGAAAAGAAACATATCTGAGCATAATGATAAAATTTTAATTTTAATTATTACACTAATATAAATCGTCTTGGAAAAAAAAAGAAGTTTTTAAGTGAAATGCTGGCTGAGCTGTGCAGTGTTCAAATTATACATTATGCACATTGTCCCTTTCTTATATATCTGTAAGTATATTTTTTGTGTATAGATTCTCAATCTTGTCTTAGACAGAATTTGTTTCTTGATGCCGCCACCTTTGATAAAGTTCATTGAAATCAAATTACATTCTTGATAGAAAATGTTTCTGATGCAGGCCTTATCTATTATTCACTGTTGAAACCAATAGACTTGGATTATCTTTGGGTCAGAAGAACCTATTGAAAATTCTTTTGTTTAGTCATGAAAGAAGTTAAATATAAAAGAAATAAAATCATGTTTGGTTAGTTGATTGCACAGTCTTCAGATGAAGAATTTCCTGTCTGTCCAAATTAAATCAGGCTTTATGAGTTTTGTCTGAAGAACTGGAGGTGTGGAAGTAGGCGCACAGCAAAAAATGTTACAATTTTATTTGCAGTTTTTTGAAATAAATTGATAGATTGACTTTAGGAGTTTCTGTAATGTTCAAATTTGTCAAGTTTGGGAGAATGATTAAAATAATATTTGAATTTGTGTTGGGCAGTATCAGTTTTCTATTTGTCAAACTTGACATATTGAAATCCTCATTTAAAAAGCCATTTGCATTATTCCCTCTAGACAAGAAGAGCATGCAAGCCAACTCTGGTTTCTTAGAATGTCAACTAGGATATGTTATAATCAGCTGATTACGACCTCCTGTTAGAGGTGTCACAGTTAATACACTCAGACTAATCTAGGGCAAGAAAATTCGGTATAATGTCATTTAGGCATTAATTAAAAATTTTCATTATTGGAAAAAATCCCCCTGATCTCTATAAGATTAAGTTGTTTAATTGCATAAGGAGATTGTCTTTTATCAATATTAATTTGATGATTTGAGTCTTTTCTTCTGGCAATTTTTTTTTTTATGTGTGATTTAAGAAGATTTGTCAAAGTTGCGGTATGTTTAAGAAGTCGTTTCCATATCCAATAATCAATTCTTTGTACTTTCAAAGAGACACAAAGGGCTGTAATGGAAAGAATGGAAAAAGTGTGATCTTATGATGACGTTGAATGCGGACATGGAAATCAACTGGTCATTAGTACTCTTTAGAATAGTCAACGACATTAAAAACAAAAAAACACGCCCCCAAAACTGTTGGCTTTGAATTTAAACAATCATTAACTTCCCACATACAAATGACATATTCTTTGGGCAAATATCATTTGTAGAGATTGCTTTTGAAAAAAAAATTGAAATAACAATGATAATATGTATTTATATAGCATGTAGTTATATTCATCTATGTAATATAAAATGAAGTAAAATGAGTGAACTAATTTTTGTTCTCTCCCTTAAATAGATTTTTCCAATTATGTGAAACCTAAATCCTTATAATGGATGTAATTTTGTGTTTGCCCATCTTGATAACTTGTAGTTAGTTGAATTTTCTGCTTGAAATATTTTTTCATTTAATTTCATTACAGTTTACTCCACTTATAAAATGAATGACCGCAAGCTGACCTATCATAGCTATTTTAGGTGCTTCTTCACAAATCGAATTTCCCTTTCGTAATGTAATCAACTTTCTTAGAAAATTCTATTAAAATTTGCAGAAAATGAGTTTAACTTGAGAATTTGTTAGGGAGGGTTGCTGTAGGAATATATCTTTTGGATGCATACCATTGTGTTTTTTTCTCTAAAGTCATTGTTATAGATTGATTTTTCTTTTAATAAATGTTTGTCTATGTACTTTCATTTGCATTAATTTTGATCAGATTATCTTTTAACACCTAAATGTTCACATTGAATTACATTTACAAATTTCATCAATTTGTTTCATTTTGATTTGATGAAATGAAAGAGAGAATTTTTTCACTTAAGATTAAAATACATGTGGAGGTAAACAATTGTTTTGTGTCATTATACTCATTTTTGTCACAGTCCAAAGATTTAATCAACAGGTTGTCAACACTAAGAGAGAAATTTAATCATTTTTTAAACCAACTTTGTCAACCATGTGTGTAATTCATCAGAAGTAGCTAGATAAATGTAATAGAATGTGGACTTTGAGAAGCAGCATTATTACAAATTTTTATCATGTAAACATCTCGGTAAAGATAATTTCCAAAATAGGATTTTCCACTCAGGGGGAAAAAAAAACTTTTAATTGACTTGCAACACCCAACTGTTTGACAGCAATGAACTTTTTACTTCTAACTGAAGAAGGATATTTTTCTTTTGGAAATATTTTGAATAAATCTGAGTCATGTCACCACCTTTTTGCTTTTTTTGAAAGTCACCTCACTCACTTTGGTGAAAAAAGACCAACAAATTGTATGAAAAATGTCAGTCAACATTCAGCTAAATGATTGATTGTATTTTCTGAGATCATTATATCAGCCATAAAATTTGCAAACTGTTGAACATAAAGAAGACTGTTTATATCCATGTTTCATCAACTTATTTGTCCGAAGCTTGTCTCATGTCAGATATAATAGTTCTTTCCTATTGCATGCTCTTGCATATCAAATTATCTTGGATCCGGAGAAATGGATTTTTCCTTAACATCTCTGGTGCATTCTGTTGCCCAACTACCTCTGGATCTGTTACCTGCAAAATCCCGAAAATACTAATATGTGCAAGCTTTGCATTTGAACAGTAATTCAGTACTCTTTCTCCTACAGTTCAAACACAATTTTTTGTCCCCCGCTTTCGCGAAAGCGAGGGGACATTAAATCTCATTCGTCTGTCCGTCAGTCTGTCCGTCTGTCAGTCTGTCCATCACAAAAACTTTAACCTTGCCCATAATTTTTGATTTAGTGGAGCTATGACTTTCATATTTCACATGTGTATTCCTTGTGACAAGACCTTTCTTTGGGTACCACCAAATTTGACCTTTTGACCTTGACCTTGGAGTTTGACCCACTTTTACACAAAAATTCCAAACTTTTACTTTGGCCATAACTTTTGAATAATAGGTACTAGGACTTTTATATTTCACATATGTATTGTTTGTGGCAAAACCTTTCAGTGGATAACAACTACCTTGACCTTTTGACCTTGACCTTAGAGATTTACATACTTATAAAAAAACTTTAACCTTGACCATAATTTTTGAACGGGGAGGACTAATGCTTTCGTACTTCACTTATGTAATCCTTGTGAGAAGACCTTTCATTGGATACCAATAACTTTTACCCTTTGACCTTCACCCTGGAGTTTTAACTACTTTTAAAAAACTTTAACCTTGGTCACAACTTTTTAACAGTGGATACTAGGACTTTTATATTTCACATATGTATTTCTTGTGGCAAGACATTTCATTGGATACCAACAACCTTGACCTTTTGGCCTTGACTTGGAGATTTACGTACTTATGAAAAAACTTTAACCTTGACCATAACTTTTGAACGGTGAGGGCTAGAGCTTTCGTACTTCAAATATGTAATCCTTTTGAGAAGACCTTTCATTGGATACCAACAACTTTTACCCTTTGACCTTGACATTGGAGTTTTAACTACTTTTTAAAAAAAACTTTAACTTTGGTCACAACTTTTGAACGGAAGATACTAGGACTTTTATATTTCACATATGTATTCTATGTGGCAAGTCCTTTCATTGGATATCAACAACTTTGACCTTTTGACCTTGACCTTAAAGATTTACGTACTTATGAAAAAACTTTAACCTTGGCCATAACTTTTGAACAGTAAGGGCTAGGGCTTTCATACTTCACATATGTAATCCTTGTAAGAAAATCTTTCATTGGATATCAACAAATTTGATCCTTTGATCTTGACCTTGGAGTTGACCTACTTTTAAAAAACTTTTTACTTTGGCCATAACTTTTTAACGGTCAGGATTAGGGTTTTCATCCTTCAAAAAAAAAATCAACTTCAATGTTACTTTCTAAATAAATGACATATGACAGGATGTTCATATTACACACAATATGTCATAAAAAATAACATCTCACCCACAAAGACACCAAAAGCGGCGGACCACAATTCTTTGAATTTGCTTGTCAGGGTTTAATGTTCAAAAAGTTGTACTCTCATGGCTACTTAAAATAGAATAAGGAAAAAAAGAAATTATTTTTCCGTAGTTTTATTTATTTTTAATTATTTTTTTTCATGTCATGATATTTATCATTACAGATGAGGAAGCAGAGAAGACACCCCTAGGGACAGAAGAAAATACAGCTGACGCCACATCTCAGGCATCCCCAGGGACCCCCGGTCTAGAGGAGGGGTAAGTCAGGGGGGTAGGTCCTCCCTTCTGCTTGGGTTGATATTAATTAAACAGCTCAACATGGCATAAATTTGAATAGCTGGATCTTTACTTTTGGCATACACAAAAATCTGTTTTTAAAGTACCGATAAACCTGCCAATGTACATTTATGTTGCTTCATTTACATTTTCAAGGAAAATGTTCATTATGATACATATAAATTGTGCTCATATTTTATCTGTGTAGTTGCTATTTAATCATTCAAATCTTCGTTGACTTTAAATACTCAGCTTATTTTTGTATGACATTCCTAGGGAGGTGGACTTTGGAAACACAGATGCTACAGACAGACAAACAGACGAGGAGGAGACACAAAGTGATGTCAAGTCAGAGAGTGGAGGCAGTCCTACTGAGCAGGTATGACGGTCAATTTCTAGGCGTCTTGTAGAACACGTTCTTTGACCAGAAGCTTTGGATGTAGAGAAGTTTGGGATAAAGTATATAAGGTTCTGTGTTCACTTAGTACAATGTCAACTTCTAATTTCATTTTTCATCAGCACCTGATAGCATCATATTCTGAAAAAGAACCAGAAAAATGCATGCATTTATTCTTAACCTGTAGAAAGAAGTAATATTCAGATGGATAAGTCAAACGTCGGGTATTCGTAGAGGGGGGGGGGGGGTAGTTAAGCAAATACAGTGCTTGCAACCCAATCAACATTATCTCTCATGAAAAGATGACATTTTTGTGATCAAATATAGACATTACAAAAGTGCAAATTGACATCTTATTCTTAAACAAGACTTTGAGTTGACAAGAAATGTCTCTCTGAAAATCTTGAGAAAAAATCTTTAATTGAGATGAAAATGTGATGAAATAGATCCTTAAGCTGCGATAGAAATGCAGAGGGAAAACTGTGTAAAAAAGTTTTAAAGGCAATTTGTGTGTTTTAAATTTGATTTGCGATTCCCAGTCTGAATAAAAATAAAAAACGCAAGGACAAAAAAAAACTTAAATCAATTTGTGTCAACCACATGGGGATTTAGTGGTTAAAGAAGATGCATTATGTCTGGTTAGGCTGTGAAATATTTTAAGGAAAATGTCGACCTTTATCATGAAGTGCGACTCAGGAAAAAAGTTCAATTTTCTCTATGTGTAATAAAATTTGTTTTATGATTGGTCCTCAGCCGTGGTAATTATCTTTTTCTTTTCTGTAATTATTTTCTTGAAAAGAAGGTCGGACAGAAATAAAACCATTTTTAGTATTCAAATGTAAGTAGTTTAATTATACTCACAGAAGAATTTTAATGCATGTGCTTAATGTGATAAGAATAATACCAGACTTTTTTTATTTCACAATGTTGTGCAGTGAGTTGAAGGTTTCTTGACCTGTTCTTTTCAATATGAGTATAATCTCTACATCTAGTTGGGGGTGGGGTTAATGGAATTTTTCTCACACAGTTATCTCCCCTTCTATAGGAATACATGGAAGTTGAAAAAAGAAACACAAGTTACTTATAGTCTCTCAAAACAAGTTCAGTTAATCTCTTCAGGTAGGCAGATAGCTGGTTTCAAGTTTTTCTCTTGTACATATATTATCTTAGCAAATTTTCATCCCAATGTGGTGGACAGAAAAAAAAATTTATTGGTGACATTTAGAACTGTTAGAAGTTAAAAAAAAAATTATATTTAAATGATATAGAAAAAATAATTGATAAAAAAATGAATTCCCAAGTATTGTATAATTGTGTTTTAGATCAAATTGAAGTTATTGATAATTAAGTTTGACGGTTACATCGGAGTGGGTAAAAGTATTGTAATAGGAAAAATTTCAAAACAAAAAGTTCAAGCTATGCTCATATATGTAATCTTAAAAGTCCAGGTGCAGAGGAATTGTGTTGGCTTAAGGTTGTAGCACAGTATATGGAACAACTTCAGATTCAAACTCTTAAGTTTGCTTTGTGAATTTTATGGAGATCCATTTGTGATCATATTGTAACCATTTCACTAAATGGGCGTTTTCTGTAAAAGAGATCGCACACAGTATTTTTAACCCTGTCTCTAAGGACTGTAATTTTAATATAAATGTTATATAGCCTGCCCACTCATCAGTTTTTGTTTGGACAATGATATCATTTAAAACCATTTCTTAGAATTTGATCTAGTAATAACATATGTTTTCCTTTGAGTGTACATGTACTTTCAGCAAATGGAAGTGTATATTAAACTTTGCAGTCAAAGACTTCCTCTTGAAAAAAATGAAAAATGTGTCTGCTTTTATATTCTATTTCATGAAATTATCTTGTCATATTTAAGAGTAACAATAAATTAAATCGCGTTGCCCCTAATTAAGCTTTTTTTGCTTCGATTGTCAAGCCAGGGACTATGGTTATAAACATGATATCATAATTTATGACTATATTAAGGAATACTGTAAAAGAAATCGCAAGAAAATGAAATGAGGAGAAGTGAAACAAACATGGCTTAATTGACAGATCTGTATTTAAGAGTGTCTGGCAAATTAATCTCAGAACCCGTCAGACATCTTTAATACGGTTAGAAAACTTGACTGAGAGCCAATATTAGGCTTTAATTGAAGGTCGAAATTCCTTTTAGACAATTTTTTATTCTAATCTTTTGATGAAAATTGCAATTATAGTTGGATTGATTTCGATTTGGCCTGTCTCGGTACAGACAAATTTGGTTTGTGTAACCTATGGTATACGATATCAGCCATTTTGAGAGCTTAAGCAGTAATGGACAATATTTTATCAAAATCGGGACAATCCTCATAATCGCTAGAATTGTCTGAGACAATTTCCAAAACAGTCAATACTTACGGACAAGATAGGACAAAATATGGCATTTTCTGTTTACTTAATATAAAAAGCATTAGACAGTTCACAACAGATCATCTGCCGGGACGATTTCATCGCCTTATTAGGCAAGAATTTTGCTGAGTGTAATTTTCAGATAAAATCGGGTAGAACCATTAGAATTGGACTGTTTGAAGGAGAAGCCATTACTGACCATGTACAATATTTCAGCGGAGAGCATATGGTGCATATGGTCTGATTTTAAAAAACTGTAATGAAAACATCTCTCAGAGTGATGGATTGTTTTCAGACTTTGCTTATTAACTTTGCGCTGGGGCAGTTTTCTATTGATTTTCTACTCAATTTGAAAATCTTTGTTGATTTAAGAAAAGATACAGATGCACACTGTTTGTTTTCCAAGCACTTCAGTCCCTCTTTGAAAATGTCATCAATTATTTTCTCTAATGCCTCCACAAATCCAGGGCATTGTCATTCTTTATCAACAAGATCTTTTGAATATTTTAGGGGATGATGGGAGATTGGAAAATGTCGGAATTTTCATCTTACTGCCATATAAAGCTAGGGACCTAAGTTGAAAAACGGTATACATTGCCAAGTTTTGTCTGGTCTGATCAATACTATAAAGTCTTTCCAACCAACTGAAAAGATTAAAAAAATCAATATGCCATACTCCAACATTTTAAGTTGCTTTGGCTGACCACATAAATGAAATAATTTTGATGGAATTGGCACTAGAAAATTGTTTTCAATTATCTTTTTCCTCTTTCGGGATCGAAATCGAACTATTTCTCAAGTAAACATATGAGATGAATGTCCGTCTGCGTTTTTTTTCTCAAATGATATATTTATGGTGTTTCTTTGACAGATTGAGATTTTTTAATATCAAATGAAACATAATGGCCATTCTACAACTGTCTGATGTATTCTTTCATGACAAACAGATATTTGTTACTTACGTATTGATTGGCTCAAAATTGGCCCCCAGATACCCAGTGCCTGTAACCTTTCAGTATATTAGTAGATATTTTTACTGCCTTAAAATATTAATAATTGTAATAGCAGATGTTTTATGATGCCAGTATGAAAAACCATTCCATTCTTTATGACCTTGGTATACTATATGTGTGGATAACACTCTATGTGTAATGAAAGGTCACTTAGTTTTTTTTTTGAGTTTTTTTTTCAGAACCTATTTCATATCATTATTTTTTATTAGAACAAATGTGTACTTCAAATTTTCTTTTTTTTATGAAATCAAATTTAGATACATGTATATGTTTTAATCTTTTCGGAGATTAATTAGTGTTATTAATTAATTACAGGGGAGTGACAGAGAGGAGGGGGAGGAGGAGAGTGGGGAGTTATCAGTGAACCAGATGGAACTTCTAGAACTAGAGATGAGAGCTAGAGCCATCAAAGCCATGCTGCTCGCCCAGGAACAAAGAGACAAACAGACCGACAAGGACTGAGCCAAGAGCAGTAACTCTTACTGACGAAAGGCTGAGTAATGGGCAATAACTCTCACACAGTCTCATTCAAGACAATCTGTAACAATCTGTATACTACAGAAATCATCCAAGAGTTTCAAAATACATGTATTAAAAAAAGAGTTTTCATCACATGCCAAATTACATCTGTGTTTTTGTATTTTTATATGAATATTTTGTTTGCACTGAATTGAGTGTAACAGCTGAATATTTACAAGTGCAAGACAAGATGAAAGTTGTGACATTTTCTGTTTCAATATTTTTTATTGTGTTATATGAAAGATTTTTATTTTTGTATCAGAGAAACAATTAAAAAATCGTTAGATCTCAATAATTTTGTTTCTTTTTAATGATCAATGTAAATATTACTGGATGAAGAGACTATTATAATAATCTTTGTAAAAAGTGCAGGGGGGATGTTACAATGCCATTTGTACCACAGGAAATGGCAGTTTGTGAATTTTAGTGCAATGTACTCAACAAGTCAGCCCCTTTACAAAGGATATAAACATGCTAAAATATGCCCTGTATAAAAGAGAAATGAAGAGAGCTTTCGGACAGAATTTATTAAATCACATATCATAATTGAAGTATGTAAGTTAAAATTTTTAGATTTTAACAACTACTAATATAGTTACAAAAGGTTATATATCACATTCCCTCTTTTGTTCGCAAACTTTTTAGCTCACCTGAGCAGAAGGCTCAAGTGAGCTTTTCTGATCAAAATTTGTCCGTTGTCTGTTGTCGTAAACTTTTCATATTTTCATCTTCTCAAGAACCACAGGGCCAATTTCAACCAAACTTGCCACAAAGTAACCTTGGGTGAAAGGGATTCAAGTTTGTTCAATTGAAGGGCCAAACCCTCTTCCAAGGGGAGATAATCATGAATTAATGAAAAATTAATGGGATCTTTTAAAAATCTTCTTCTTTACAAGTACTGGACCAGGAAAGATGAAACTCATGTGGAAGCATCCTCAGGTAGTGTAGATTCCATTTTGTTCAAATCATGACTCCCTGGGGGTAGGGTGGGGCAACATTGGCTGATCAAAGATTTACATAGAATGATATAGGAAAAATCTTTGAAATCTTCTTCTCAAGAGCCACTGGGCTAGCTGCAGATCTGTAGTGTTATGGTTTTATATATTTGTCTTTGACCATAATGCTACAGATCCCTTATTGCAAAAAAGGTGCAATTTACGGCTCAATATTTTTTGCTTACTTTTGGGGAGAATTTTTCCACTTTCTAGCATTGGTCAATCAACTACCTTTCACTCCCTAATTCTAGACACATTCTGTAGCCAATATGTATATTTTATCTACCTCCCAACCATTTATAGTTGTCTCCACAGGCAATAAACCTGCTTTAAGTGAATTTTCAGTAATCTAACATATAATTTTAATCAAGCTAGTTTATCACTTGTAGAGATGACTATAAAGGGTAGGTAGATGTAAAAAGTACACATATTAGTTAAATAATGTGCCTTAAATTAGGGAGTGAAAGATAGTTAATTGACCAATGCTAGAAAGTACCTTTTTTGCATTATGGGATCTGTAGCGTTGTGGTCAAAGACAAATATATAAAACCAAAACCATAACGCTACAGATCTGCAGCTACCAGTGGGCCAGGAAATATGAAACATGTGAAAACATCCCCAGATAGTGTACCGGTAGGTTTAAGTTTGTTAAAATCATGACCCCCAGGGGCAAGGCGGGGCCACCATTGACGATTAAAGTTTTACATAGGAATATATTGGAAAAATCTTTTAAAAATTTCTCAAGAACCACTGTGCCAGTAAAGATGAAACTTATATAGAGGCATCCTCAGGTAGTGTAGATTCCATTTTGTTCAAATCTTGACCCCCGGGGTAGGCGGGGTCCACAACTGACGATCAAAGATTTACATATAGGAATATATAGGAAAAATCTTTGAAAATCTTCTTCTCAAGAACCGCTTTGCCAGGAAAGATGAAACTTATGTGAAAACATCCTCAGGTAGTGTTCTGGTAGATTTAAGTTTGTTCAAATCATGATCCCCAGGGGTAGGGCGGGGCCACAATTGACGATTAAAGTTTTACATAGGAATGAATACATCGGAAAATATATAAAAACCACAAGGCCATGGTTGGTCATATCTTTATGTAAGCATCCTCACGTAGTGTTTATTCAAGTTTGTTCAAGTTATGAACAGGAAGTAGGTTGGGTAGGGTGGGCCACAATTAGGGATCAAGTTTTGCCTGGAATTATCAATGAAATATTTTCCCAGGAACAGAAAAGCTATATTTAATCATATTGATATGGAGGCATCCTCAGGTAGTACTGGTCATACTGGTTCAAATGAGGGCTCCCAGGGGTAGGGCTAGGCCACAATAGGGGGGAGAGGGGGTTAAATGAATAAATATGGAAAAAATCATCTTCTCAAAAACAGCAAAACCATTTATTGTATGGAAGCATCATCAGGTAGTTGGTAGTTTAAAATTCCCTCCTCCATGTAAACTTCTCAATACTGATGTGATTTCTGTTTTTATTTCCTAGCCAATGTGCTCAGTTGAGCGATGTGGCTTATGGGCCCTTGTTTCAGAATATTATCAGTAGAAGCAATCTTCTGGCAATGAATATTAGAGGGAGGGTGTCTATTATCCCCCCCCCCCTTACTATCCAGGAATTTGTTGACAAGCAGAGTGAAAAAAAAAAAGAAAACGTGAAAACCTATTGGGGGAAGCTTTTCTAAAGGGTTCTGAGTTTTCTAGAATCGTTCATTTATTTAATGTTATTAACGAAATCCAAAAGGGGAAGGGAGGGACCAGACCCCTCTAGATGCGCTTGATCTATTTTTATTTTCCAGTTCTGAATCAGCAATAAAGTATGACGATTTATAATCATCATTTTCACTAAGCATCAGGCGCATTTTCCGACGAAATAATCAATCAAAATTTTTAAAACATTACCATTTTGAACTTTTAAACATTTTTCAGTTTCAAATTGAAACATGAAGATAATGAAGAGGTTTGTGAGATTAGGACAGAAATTATTGATTAGGAAATCAGTATGACAAGTATGAATCGTGCAACTTGTTAAAATAATAGGTGACATTTACAGCATCTTGCAGAGTTATAAATCTGAGAATAAAGAATTAATTGATGCTTCTTTCTTTAAATTCAGTTTCAACCTAGCTCTTTTTGGAACTTGGAATGCCAAAGTCTTAATAAAGTACAAAAATTATTAGAAATTTGTCAGAGGTTTATCCTCTACGTGGAAGCATCGTGCATTTTTTGGTCGTGGTTTGCGACGATGGGAAAAGATAGATAACTCGCATTCAAATTTGATCCATTTGAGTTTTCTTTGACGCAGACGGATCTATAATTTTTATCTGACAAAGAGGTGTTGTACGTTCAAATAATAATACAGAAAAAGCACAGGCACCTGACGTTACTTATTTTTCTTTTAAATAAAATAAAATATACCCTTACCTTATAATAAGGTAAGGGTATATTTTTTTATTTAAAAGAAAAACTATTATCAATGGTACTGTGAGCGATGAGCTCACTTTAATCATATTGATATGGAGCCTCCCATATGGTTATAACTGGTGAAATAGTCCATCTTTTCCTGTGGCCGGGAAACCCAAGATATGTGTCGGATTAAAAAGTAAAAGAGGTCACAATGGCAATATGTAATAAAGATTCTGTGCAAGTATAATCAAATTTCATTCAGTGGTATGAGAGGAGTTGCGGATAAGAGATGGGTACCCCAAAGCGTAACAGACGGAATTTTTCACAGACAGACGGACGGAAAACGTGACAACCTATTGACGGACGCTTTTCGGAAATACCGATTACTATATACCCCCACTTTTCAAGCGGGGGGTATAATAAGTAACGTTAGGTGCCTGTGAGAAAAAGTGAAAGAAAGGGTATGTCTAATGTCACTGTTGTTATTATTTAAAATGTTTTTTGGGTTTTATCTTTTTAATTTAATCGTGATCGTTAAAGTCTGTAACTGATCTTCACTAGTAAGCACAATTTTATTTCTAGGAAAAATGATAAATTATGCTGCTTTTCATAAATTAAAAATTACAGTGGTGGGGCTTGGTAAATGGGTTCAAATCTAGCTATTATGGTGACTTCTATACCTCTATGCATATCCAGTCAGCAGTATCCGTTTTGAAAGGGGACAGCCGGAGAAAAAAAAATATCTAAAAAAAAAAGAAATGACAGGCAAAACTACATAAATATTTTTTTTTTAGTGGTGTGGATATTTTATTTTGAGAAACCCGAATTAGGTTTTTCGAGTTAGAATGTTGCTCTTTTACAGTCTAGCTTACAGTTAATGAAGAAGACGATGTGTATTTTGGACGCAAAACATTTTTTAGTTCTACGATCTACAGATGATCCGGTTAAACCCCAGGCTCTGAATATAGAAAGACATTAATTACGAAACTCAGCTGTTTTGTGCAACAGCCAGTTGAATTCTAATAACAAGAGGCCATGGGCCACATCACTCACCTGAGTAACTTTGATGATGCCATTCTTTACCAGATCCCCCTCTGGTAATACCTATTGTGACCTCGCCCTATATACCCCCACCCCACCCCGGGGGACATGATTTTACCAATTTAGAATCTACATTTCTCCAGGATGCTTACACATAAGTTTCATTTTTTCTGGCCCAGTGGTTCTTGAGAAGAAGATTTAAAAAAAAATTTCCTTTATATTTCAATGTAAAACGTTGATTCCCTGTTGTGGCTCCGCCCTGCCCCAGGGGTCATGATTTTAACAATTTTGAATCTACACTAAACAATACAAGGATGCTTCCACGTAAGTTTCAGCTTTTATGGCCTAGTGGTTCTTGAGCAGAAGATTTTTAGAGATTTTTCCTATATATTTCTATGTTAAACTTTGATTCCCCATGATTTAAATAATTTAGAATCTTCGCTACCCCAGGATGCTTCCACATAAATTTCAGCTTTTATAATCCAGTGGTTCTTGAGATGAAAATTTTTTAAAGAATTCTCCTATATATTTCAATGTAAAACTTGAATTCCTAGTGTGGTCCCGCCCTACCC